TTATTACGTTTTTTATTAAGTTAATGGCAATAAAAACAAGTTAGATTAATGTACCTTTTATTGTTAACTTTGACAGCCATAATTAGAAGGTTTTTTTTAAAGATGTGGATGCAAAGCTGTATTTAATATTTTTCCTGTGTGAATATTTTTATTTTTTTTATTTTAATGTGTAATTGTGATGATTAGCAACCATAACCATGATAGAAAATGCTTTGTTCTTTTTCTTACTGTACAATTAAAGTATCAATATATCTGTATAAAAATAGTGATTGAATGATTGATTTCCTTTATTTTTATCCACTTGAAGCATTGGTCATTCTGAACCTCACCACCTGCCGAGACACGTGAACTCCTGCAGGATGTGGACATTTTCACATTTTTGACACACTGCTGTAGGGGTTATATTATAAAATTCACAGGGAGGCACCACACCCCAACACTGTTGTTTGTAATACATTTAGACGACCACTAGATGGCAATATATCCTACACATGGTGGCTTTAATTACAGTATATCTTCTTTTTCTTTTTCCTTTTTTTTTTATTTTTACAGTGTCCTGTCCAGCATTGAGGCAATAAGAATAATTGTCTTGATGCCAAAAGGAGCCCAACAGATTTTACTTTCACAAGTGGAACAGTATGGCTATCGCCATAATGTTACGCTTGATTTATGCATATATATATTTATTATAATTTATGCAGGGAGTATTACAGATTTTATGGACACTGCAATGTAGGTAGAAAAGGAAAGGAAAAACAGAAAAAAGGAGAAAATATAAATGACAGAGGAGATAAAAGGGGAGATTAAAGGGAGATAAAGATAAAAGATCTTCAGTCTGCTTCATCACCTGCAAAGAGATGTAAAAAGAACAGCACAGCCAAGAGATATAGTATAAGAGATACAATTAAGCAACACCTTGATACTATTGCTGAACTATAAGTAGTATTATTTAATCTGACATGTATAATGTGGTAGCTGAAGATCAGAATATGGGCTTTCTGTATGGAGGTGAAGTACCAGAGGAAAAATGCTCAATAGTGGTTGTGAAGAGCCAAAGACGCGCCCTTCCAAAGCACTGAGGCAAGCACCGGGGGGGCCAAAACCCCCAGACGCCCAAAGGGATCCCAAGAGCAAAGGTGCCCAGGAGGGGGCAACCCAGGAAACCTGACCCCCCACCAAGGGAGGAGGAGAGACGGCCCCTAGGAAGTCCCCCAGGCACCGCTATGCCGGAGCCCCGGGAGCCGGCAGCTAGCTTTATTAAATCTGATGTAGGTCCAAATGCTGGCCACACTACTCTGATTAATGGATGTCAAAATACATTGAGAACCCTATATCATTTTTCTTCCCTTTTCACTGTGAGCTCCTCATGGCATTAGTTTAGCTCTTAGAATCCCAGATACCTTAAAGTTTGTGACTTTAATGTGAGGGTTGGTATAGAGCTGTTTCAACAGCCTTGGTTACCAAACATCCAAGCTGTAGTCATCATGATCTGTGATCTGCAGCTATTGCCTGACCTATTAGTTGACTGAAGGCTCAGACAAAGCAGAACTTACCGTACTCAATGCCGCTCAGCATAAATATTAATCCGATGGTAAGGAAAGTTATGTTCCTCTTCTGGTGGTTATCCATTCTACTGATTTACTCTCTGCCCTGAAAACTCAGATCTGAGTGCATGTTGTCTTGAAATGTTGTTCAGAGGCACTAAAAGATAACAAGAGACATCGTGCATCCACTTACAGCCTCTGGCCTGGATCACTGGAGGAATAAGTCACACCATTGTCCAAGTTCATAGCGCAACTCCTCAAAAAAACTCAACAAAGCTGATGTGTTTCCTGCATCATCTCAGGACAGAAAAAAATATCACATCAACAGAGAAGCAGTTTGAACTGACTTGGAACCCTACTGCATTAGGCATTTATGTTAAAGATGAGATTCTGTTTGAGTCACGCTAGAAGAGTGGTGCCAAGCTGCGAGCCTCACGGTCAAGGCAAGGTCTCAGGTTGCCAGGTGAGGCAGAGTGTTCGGCGCTTAATACATTTTTAATCTTGTTTTCTCTAGTTACATCAAAAGCATCGGATTCTACTGCCGTCCTGTAAGGAAATGTGTGCAGCAAAAGTTCCTAATATAAAGATGTTTGGGTTTGTTTGTTTTGTTTAACAGAAGAAACATTTTTAAATCAATTTAACTGCAACAAATACATACAGTAGTTCAGTTTTTTCCTCATTGTTGGACATTAAACCACAAACTTTTTCACTATTTTTTTTATCTTGTATTTACTAAACAATAAGGAAATGGTTGGGAGAATGTTTTTTATACTTTATGCAAAAATGTAAAGATTCCCTTTGCTAAGATCATTAAGGCTTATAGGAAAACCCCTGAGACAAACCTTTGTGATATCATGGACTATTTTAACCCTTTAAAGCCCGATCCAAGAATAAAACAAAACAAAAAATTTCTTTTTTTTTTTGTTTAAATTCCTTATTTGGCCTTTTAACAAAATATGTAAAAAGAAAAAACAAAAGTAA